TATTTCGTTGGTCGACCCCGAACTTTTTTTACATTTTGCAGTCAACGTTGCATACTGTATACTAAGTTTTCAGTAACCTTTTTGTCAATATTGTTCCAAATCTTAAAAATTTGTCATTTTAATGCTGCCTTTGAATTTGCTTCACATTTACTTCATTTTTTGCCAATTATTGCTGTTACGGACCCAATCTTGTGCTCAGTTCGTGTTGGCAGACACGGTGTTGGGTTGTAAGGCCAACTTGTGCAATAGACGGGCGTGAAGGACCAAATCATTCGGCAGGCTTCCGCTCGGTGGTCCAATGCTTGAACGTTGCCACACGTTCTGAGTTGTAGGTGCCCGATTTGATTTTATAGCAGATAGTCAGTCCACGGGACTGTCTGTGCAGACTACTTGTTGTTGGCTGAATGCTTGATATGTACTGGTTGACTTGACTCTGTTGTCGATACTGAAGGACTGTGCTGTCTGATGTGAAGTGAAGAACTGACTGTTGAATACTGACCAACTGACTGTTCGATTGATATTGACTAACTGACTGTGCGATGCACGATCTTTCGAAGCCCAGGATTGCCCAAAGGGAAATCGATTTTCCCATTGGTGTTTGACGGGACCGAGGGTAGTCCCTTGGTCCGCGATTCAGGTGCCCCCAAAGAAGGGAGGAACGTCTTCCGCGACCAGGTCTGCTGATGGAGGAAACCTCTCCCTCAGAGGGGGTTGCTGGTGGGCCACCCGCACATTCGTGACCCGTTACTTTATGGCTTCGAAAGTTGTGACATCGCACATGGCCTGGTCCTTTCCTTTGCAGGCCTATTGTCAGCCAAATCCTAAGTGCTGTTGCTTGGTTTCTAAAATTAGTGGCTAAAGAATGCCTCGTGTCCAGTGACCCGAGGAAAATAAAGAACAGCTTGTAAAGCATATTGAAAAATGGAGAAAATAGAAAATACCGAAATTGAAATAAAACAGCAATTAGAATCTGGCTGTCAGAAGACCGTAACGGGTCTTCTGGGTCTAGAGTTTGCCCCAAGATGGGACAACGCTTGATTTAATAATCCTGAACACTGACTCTAAGACACACTGACTCTTCCGCGTCCTTGCACCCTTATTTAAACCTTACACTCTGTATTCTTTCATACTCATGCTCTCTTTCTCAATCTCGTATCCTAAATACTCAGATGCCTTCCTAAGCTTCCACTCTTCATTCGCATTCGATACTGCCATAAATATCCCGTTCATATCATCCTTGTACGTCGTCACTCGTCTTTCCACACGCACTCCAGATAACAGCCTAGACGCCTAAGCCGAACACGAGGGTGCTGTTTATTGTTGCTCGCTTTCGAGGAGTGTTTCCCATGCTCTCTACAGTCATACTCACACAAAAAATACTGTCACAGACGATGACCTCCTACAAATATAAGAATCAAATTTTCAAGAACTTTTTAGAGTAGGTTCTTAGGTATATTGCAACTATAAATCAATTGGATGAAACGTTGTAAATACACTCGATATCTTCAACTTGAAAATAAGGGAGCATGCTAACACATACTTTTAAAATCTAGGCCTTAAGTATTAACATACTAGTAAAATAAATTTTACTTTACGGCACGTGTCTTGTCTTATGGTTAATGGTTAACACTGCTTTCTTGTCTACGTCAATGTATTGTGATGCTTATCGGTTAATCTTATTCGGTCTCGGTGTATCTCGTTCGTTTTCATTACCATGCGATCTTATATGTTCCCATTTGTGGATGTGATACTTTCGATCAATAATGAAAACGCCATTTTTCTCACTTCTCCGCAGTAAATATTGTATGTAAATAACACATACCTATATTAAAAGAAGACATCTATTGTTAGGATGCATTCTGCTCGAATAACAGAAGATTCAGATAGTAGAACGTTTGACTATTTGTATTGAAAGTTCCAATACGAACTATTTTACTATATATTTCGTACATTTAAAAGAATGTTAACCTTCGAAAATCAAAATTATCACTAATATGTACTCAACAACAAAAAAATTCCTTTTAATTAATATCGTATTACTATGCTCTTTATTTTCCACAAATATTTTAAGTTGTTGTTTTACAGCCAGAACATTTGTACTTTTGCGCTCGACTGATTTTACGATCTTGTTACATCGTCTGAGCCAACTATACATAAAGATAGAGATTTCGGAAACATGAAAGGTGGAGTCAAGTAGAAGTGGCAGAATGTGTCCCTTGTCCATGTGCTATCTCGTTATCCATCTTCTCATCTCTGTACAGTACGTGAGAATGGCCAACATTTAAACAATACCTTAAATGAACAAGCTGCACGTAAACAGTTACAATAGCGGTCCGCAACGAAAGCATTTATGCAAAGTACGAGACAAATCATTTTTCTAGAAAATGAAACTTTGAAACGAAAAATAATTCCATTACTTCATCTTATTTTGGGAAATAAAATCTTTCTAAAACTGGTTCGTAGAAGTAAATTCGTGAGTTTCAAAAAAGGATTTAACGAAAGATATTACCATTATGAAGTATATACATTGAAATTGGATTAAAAGGAAAATTTTTAATTTCTATTACTATAATATTGTATTTCTATAATTACTTGATTTAAGTTTTACTAAAAATTCGTGACAGCTACAAGATCATAGCATTCACAGAATAGCGATAAACATTAAAAAAGAATTTTAAATAACTACTGGTAAAAGAATGATAAAAAATTATTGATCCTCTCTGATTATAGCAATATTAGAAATAAGTATTTATGTCTATAAGTTTGATCTAAAGTTAAATCCAATAACCTAATATACTGGTTTCATTCATATAAACAAATTCATTATTTTACTGTTAAACTTATAGAAAAATCGCGTTTAGACAAATGAATTTTTTATTATTTGTTTCTATGTATATATTATTAAACTATATCTGACATTTAACAAGGTAACCAACTTTTATAAAAATATTATATGGCTGCTTTCATACACTTGCCATCTGGGAGATACGTATGAACAGAATACTAAAAAATCTTTTGATCCATTTTTGTCACCAAATTTTAAGATAAGTAATTTTACATTTTACAAACAGTCTTTATCAGAGAGTCTACTAATAGGCCCTGAACGTAATGCATAATACATTACTTTTTCCCCATTTTCCTTTCTTTTCTTTTTATTTAATGCTAAAATTTTTGTTTCAATTTTATGTACACAACGTGTCAAATATCTTATTATCCCATGTTTCATAAACCAGACCTCTGTTACTCTTTTTCTATCAATCTTTTTTCCTTTTATTTTTCTTTTATTTCGTTGCATAAAATTGAAATTTTATGTATACATAGAATTAAAGTCCCTTCTTTTTTAAATATTTCCAATATAACTGAAATATAAATTAAATGTATTGATTACTGATGATCATATTTTCCTTCCTTGTTTTACTACTACCGTTAATAGTACTTTATATTTTTATTTTAATATTTTTTTTACAATACGTCCTCTTTGTATTTCATTAGACAATATGTCACTCTTATCGATTTTATAAGCTGGTTTTATTTTTCTCCTTAGGGCAAGAGTATAACCAGAAAGTCTAGAGAGAAAGGACTTTTAACACCTAATACATTTGACCTATACTTTAATAATAAAGAGTCACTTTTCTCAACTAACTTCACGTATCCGTTCTCCTGAGTTGCTCAATCGCTCACGCACTCCTAACATATGTTACAAAACTGTTATGAAGTGCACTCCAATTGCAATTCGACACCTAGACCTAAATATCCGTTTCATCACGTATTTCAGTTTACATGTGAACCATTTGAAGACCAAAGTGATTAACTCCACCTATTAAACTTTCTTTAATTTTTCTGCCAAATTTTGATGTTTAAAATAAATTTCTATTTTTTGGTAAATGAGCAGCTCATATAATCTTTCATGGACCTCGTGCACTCGTACGATAGAGACAGGTTACTCATTTCTATGGTTTGTATATTATTTGGAGTTATATAAATTACAAGATTTCATTTTTCATTAATGTAAATTGATAAGCAAATATTTTAAACGTTGCGGAAATTTTTATATATATGTACATAAATCATGGCAGCGAAGAATATATTTTTTTAATTATTTGTTTTGTTCTTTACCATTTTATGCAGAAAGTTATGTGTAAGATAATAATGCTAATTGGGAAATTGGTAATATTACATCACAAACACGAATCCTGTTGTTGGGGATTAATACTTATTATTCATTTTAACACATTTTAACTCTTTTACCACAAAGCTATTGGACCTGTAAGATCTAACTATAGTAAATAAATAAATATATATAATACTACAAATAAATAGATACACCATCTTTGTAAAAATTAATATTGATTTCATCGAATATTTATTGTCTTCAATAATAGCGAAAGCATAAAATTTGAAACCAATTATTTGAATTGTTTCGGTAATAATCGTTTTACTGCCAACTCTAAAGGTGTTTCAATTTACACATTTTCACGAGTAAATTTTTATAAAATTTCATTATTTATTCAAACTTGAAGAATACATAATGCAATTTAATTATTTTTTCTTCTCACTGCATTTAAATATAGAAAAATTTAATTAAATTTAATTATTTAATTAATAATCTGAACGTAAATAAATAAGACATATCGGTCGTTGGTAGTTTTCGCATAAGCATACATCCAATTAGGGTAACCTATAGGATTAAAATATAGGTCAATTGACAATAAAAAGGTTATATTAAGGTTAGAATACAAAATTTAAGAAATATTCTTAAATTGTTCATACGGTATAACAGATTTTGATATAAGTTAAAATTTACTTTTTATTTCTATTTGTTAATTAAGTAATTTTTAAATGTAACTAGACATTGACATATGAGTATAGAATGTTATGCAAAATAACATGTATTCCATAATTTAATTTTTAATGCACAATAAATATTCAATTAATTAATTTTAATATTTGTATATTTATGATAATTTTCTTTTTTTAATTAATCTTAATAACAATTACAGAAACTTGAAGTTGCGTCTGGTAAACACGAACACTTCGAAAGCACAACAGAAGGATTTGCTATATACCATTATGCCGGAGTTGTCTCTTATTCTGTTGATGGATTTTGTGATAAAAATCGCGATGTGCTTTTCACAGACCTCGTGGAACTAATGCAAACAAGCACTAAGTAAGTTATTGCTATTATTTTCTTATATGTTATGTATTAAATTTTTACCAAATAAGTATCGAAAATTACCAAAAATTAATTTCCACTGTTCTATTTACATTTTTAAAATACAGAATATTTATAGTTTTAATATATTTTACTATTAGCATGTGTTAATTAACTTTTACGTAAAATTATAAAAATCAGGGTAAGTGATGCAACTTGATGAAGATACATACGTATGTCTTTTAAGTAAAACATATCGTGGAATGTGAGATTTCTCTGCACGTAGAAAAAAATTTAAGAAATTTAAGCGAAAGTTTATATTTAGAAATGGGTCACTTTTTATGCAACAATTGATGTTTTATTAGTTCTCTATTAAAAAATATTTTGACATTGATTTCACAAAATCAATAATCATTTACATGATACACACTAATTAAAACGCGAAGATAGTAAGATGGTCTACTTTGAAGATAATCAAGAGTTTTCTGACAGTTAATTAGTAGTAGAAATGTGTTTATAAAGAACTATTTAAGGCTGAGAATACTTTTGTATCGACAATACCAATGAATAGTAAGAATTTATTATCTTAGAAGGTGAAAGAAACGCAGCTTGGATTGCCTATGTTTCGATAATCCCACACTCGCAAATATAAACATAGAAAATAGAATATACTGTGGAAATGGGTGTGGCGGTGATAGAGCTTTCTCTCTTTGACGATTAGAATATTATATTTAAAATAAAATACAAAATCGACTGTTCAAACTAACTTTCGTGACCGACTCTCTCTCAAGCGACTCTTAAGACTGATTTCTCACTCTCACAAAACTGGCTCTCAAATCTGATTCGCAGAACTCGTACTTGCACTCCGACTCCCGCATCCCTTGACATTCCTTTTTATACTCATTCATCTACTATGCGGTCGGGAAGAGATGCCACAACGTGTTTACATCCTCAGGGTTGACTGACTCCACTTACACTCTCTCGATCACAGGCAGTGACTGCTATTGGCCGAAGAGTGACAAAGATTATCAGGGGGCCATAGCAAGACCGAGTAAGATAGGATGAGGCAGCATCGGCGTTAGTTCTCTGTTTCTTAATAGCTTCAAAGACGCATAATACGTATTGCCAGGCGTCCGAAAATTCTAAAAGAATTTCAGGGATTCATTTGTTCTTCCTGCGCCACTTATATTCTTAGTATAAACATTCTGTCAATTCACAGTGCACCCTTCCGAACACTCGTCAATCATGCCCGCAGTCACTCGATCCACTGCTACGCAACACTGACACTCACTACTCGCGCCGACAAATGCTCGATCTGCTGATACGTAGTTCCGAAATTCACTAATACCACAATATGTATCTTTTTTATTACACAAAATGTCAACGTGTGACAAGATATAATATAGTAGGTTGCGAAGAACGGGTGTATTTCCGCTTTCAGCCTCGAAGTATATGTAGGATTTCTAGATAGATTAATCCTATGCAGACCGAGATCTACGCGTTTAATGGACAACAACTCCCTTTTAATAATAAAACTGGTTTATTTAATTAACATATTGCACTAAGTTCCTCTCAATTCTAACTCTCAAACACACGATCCTCTATTCTCTACATCTCGAATACACACGATCTGCCACCCCCACGCCCTTGCACCCTTATTTAAAGTCAAAACTCTCTCTTTCCATACACAGGCTTTCTCTCTTAATCACCCGACTAGTCATAAATATGTCATCCGTTCGCACGCATTTCAGGTATCATTCTAAAGGCCTAAGTCAAAGCCGATGCCGCTGTTTATTATTTTCCAGCAGAGTCCGCCGCTCGTCACCCCGCATATATGTACATCCAGTGCTGAACAAAAGTATTGGCATAGCATGGAAGTGCTTATAACTACTAAATAAATTGATGTGATAGAAAAACTTTTTGACATATTCATTTATTATTTATTCTAGTTTTATTAGATAGTAGAAGCAGTAATATAAATACATTTATTCACGAAACAATAACAAAAATGTATTTATTGAACATTTTATGAGTGGATAAAAGTATTGGCACACTCGAATAAAAACGTTTAAAAATGACTTGGAATTAAATATTAATATTTAGTTGGCTCTCCATTCCTTTTAAGAACTTCCTTTAATCGTTTGGGCATTGTATCAACCAACTTTATTGTAAAATCCGGCTCGATTTTATTCCATTCTTGTAAAAGGACATTCTTCGAGTCTGCTTTGCATGTTATGCGATGTTTTCGAATCCTTTTTTTCAATTCATTTCAGATATGTTCGATAGGATTCATGTCTGGACTCTGCAGTGGTGTATTTAGGGAATGAGAAGTATTATAAATGATCCAATGGTGTACGATGGAAGCGGTGTGCTTTGGATCGCGGTCTTGTTGGAAATAGAAATTCCGTGGGAGATTTAATTTTTCCGCTTTTTTGAATAAATTTTGTTTTAATATATTTAAATATGCGTATTTGTCCATAATATCATCTATAAAAATTAATTCGCCAACCCAAGATGATGCCAAAGAACCCCACACCATAACTCCACCACCTCCATGTTTTATACTCGATTGTAAATTTCGTAGATCCAATCCAGTATTTGGCTTTCTCCAAACTAATATTCTACCATCGGATTTAAACATGTTAAATTTGCTTTCATCGGAAAACAGTATGTTGCTCCAAAATGTTGAATCCTTCGTTATGAATTCTTTGGCAAATTCAACCCTCATCTTTCGATTTTTTCCCGATATATATGGTTTTCTTCGTGCAACACACGCAGATTATCGGGCAGTTTTTAATATCCCCCGTACAGTTTTTCAAACTTACTTCTTTTTGACACTATTTAATATGATTCTGAGTTCCGAGGAGTTTAATTTAGGATTTTTCTTCACTTCGTTTACAATTTTACGTTTTTCTTTAACAGATAACGTGGGAGGACGACCACTTCGATTCGCATTATTAAAATCTGATTGATTTGTAAATCGTTTTACAATGCTTCTAATAGTAAAACGACTTTTGTTAACAATTTGTAATATTTCGCTATAAGATTTTCGCATTTTGTACAAATTTAATATTATTTTTCTCTCTTCACTTGTCGTTTCTTTCGCTTTTCTTGACATTATTACTTTTTCTTACTTTCCCTGTTGCTAGACGACTGAACTTTAGGATAATTGTTCTTAAAAATGACAATCGGGGTATCACCTAACTAGATTTTAAAATAACGATCGGAAATTTTTCAAACAAATGCGGATATACTATATTGAGCATCATGTGCCAATACTTTGTCCACCCATAAAATGTTCAATAAATGTATTTTTATGTTATTGTTTCGTGAATCAATATATTTATATTATTACTTCCACTATGTAATAAACTAGAAATAGATAATAAATGAATATGCCAAAAAGTGTTTCCTTTAAATCAATTTTCTTAGTAGCTATAAACACTTGTACCACAACAACCATGCTGTGTCAATACTTTTTCCCAGCACTGTATGTGTGTTGGTACCTTCTTCGTCAAAGGAATATCGGATCTGCTCGAAGGGATCGAGACACCGATAAACAAACAGGATAAGATAAATGAAAAGAACAGAAAACTTTAATTGTAACGAAAGGAAAGAAAATATAAATAGACCGAAATTTCGTTTACACCGTTACACACCGACACGCGCTCTTTCCGATATCAGACAACGCACGTCCATACCGATCACAGTTTCATTTCGCACAACTCTCAAGAAGTGATTCTCTCTTTGTTCTGACTACTTTGATTTTGACTCTGGCGTGGTGCTAGAAGTCCTCTTTTAGAAGATCGATGACCTACTGAATTGGCCGTTAATTAATTGATTCGGAATCACGCGATTCAGCCAACTTGCGATTCGCCCGTGAAAATTACACGATTTACTCTCGAAAATATAGTCCTACTATACGTTAGTAGTAAATCAGAAATAAATGAGTAAAGGTGACTATCAATTTATATGCTTTGAACAATAGAAACAGAAAGAAGATTGAAAGAACTTTGTGACTAGAAGGTAAAAGTTAGTAATTAATTTCATTAGAAAGTAATCTAGATATATGGCAAAGAGTGTTTGCGGTGAACGTCATCAGAGGAACAAGTTGTCTTCCTGGAAGAAGAATTTCAAGCAAATCGACTATAATTAGACTGTAATTACAATTAGCTGCAATGTGCTATTGCATAGAAAATTAAGGCGAGGATTTCATAGCTACCTTTTGATAATCGTGGAATAGAACTTATCAGATTAAGCATTTACTGTTTGTGTCATCGACAGTTTAACTTTTTATTATAAAGCTTTTAACTCAAAATAGATTCCAAATTGAACAACTTTCTCCTCTAATTGCTTTACAATTACTTTTTGCGTTCCTTCTGATCTTAGAATATTTGTTTCAATTTTGTTGTTATTAAAATAGTGTGCTTTATTAAATATAATTCAATTTTTCCCATAATATAAGATTTCATTAACTTGTATAATGATGATAAGCAAGTTCTTGGTCTATAGCATGATAAGTTAAGTATGCTTGAATTTTAGGTTAGGTTTTAGTATATTTCACCGTAGGTTAAAAACTTCGGTAAGTATGTTGAATTTTATTTGTATGCTTTGTTATGCAGTATGATTCATAAATACATATCCATATATCGCGAAATGAATCTACACACTAGAGTACATACATGTCTTTTATACAGGATGATTCACTTAAATTAAGCAGCTAAGTTATTTACATTACTATGAAAATTAGGGAGAAACGACAATGCGGGGTTTGAATGGTTCCAAGGCGTGCATCTGGTGGTGAAAAAAGAAGTTCTGTCAAGGTCATGTATCTTTTTTAAGGATATCGACATCTTTTTGCACATTAACAATTATTCTTCATGGCATGATATTGTAGTCTGTCTTAAGACGAGTTCAATGACTTATAGTACCATGACCTTGAGATGACGTTGAAAACCAAAATGTGACCTGACGTGTTAAGAATACAGAAACGGGGGAATTTATCTTATTTTATT